AGGTTCTCAAACCATAGAACTTGGTTCCACCCCACTCTCCCTGTGAGAGATGTGTGCTCTTGGGTAGGTTATCTGGGCTTCAGTTTCTTCATCTGTAAACTGGGAATAAGAATATTTCCTTCACAGGGCTGCTATGGTTCTTAAAAGGAGTGATATTAAATGGGATAAAGGAACAATGTTTGGCCCCTCATATAAGGTCTCGACAGCTGTTGACTTCTTTCTGCCTTTTTCCTATGCCCCACTGGTGGGAGACTAAAATGAAAAACAGGTAAGAGCACTTTGAAAAAGAAGCCATTATAGAAATCTGACATGTAAGGACTTCTTCCTGAAAGTCGAGAGGATTGAGGAACAGTGAAAACACTAAAACACAGGAGTCAGATTGAGGAAGCAGAGACTCAGGGGATGTGATGAATTCAGGCCCCTGGGGTCCAGTGGTGATTTTCCATTTCCTCAGGCAGCCACAGCTGAGTATTGTGGAAAGGGTGGGAGCTCTGGAGCCAGGCCTGGGTTCAAATTCCCCACTCCACCATGATGAGGGGGAAGATTTAGGGTGGTTTCTCCAACCCTCCTGCACCTCAGTTTCCTCACCTGTAAAGTGGGGATAATCAGTCCCTCATCAGAGAGTGCTGTGGAAATGCATAGCAGAGAAGCTGGTACACAGAAGATGCTCAATAAATCATAGTGATTTTCCTTCTTTACAGACCTCATTACTATTGATTCTGAGCATTTATCAATTTGTCATCTAAAGGGTATATGGATAAAGCGCCATGATCTCTAGATTCCCTGAGAGCCTTGATTGCAAGCATGATTGTTCTCTTGTCAAACTCTGTATCTGGCTAGTTTCCCACTGTTCTTATAGCAAAAGACCATGGCCTTCAAGGCTCCACATGGTTTAGCCTCTGCTGGCTTCTTCACTTCCTCATCAGCCATTCTCCACTTTAAGTACCGCTCTTCGTACATTCTGCTATGCGCCATCCTAGGACTCTGCTCTGCCAGGAATATTCTGTCCATGCTCTTCCAGTGAATAGCTCCATTTCACCCTCAGGTCATCTCCTCAAAAGAGCCTGTGTTCTTGGTCAAGTCCTTCATTCTTTTTTTTTTTTTAAATTAAGTTTATTGGGGTGACAATTATTAGCAAGGTTACATAGATTTCAGGTGTATGGTTCTGTAATACATCATCTATATATCACATTGTGTGTTTACCACCGAGAGTCAGTTCTCCTTCCATCACCATATATTTGGTCCCCTTTACCCTCATCTACCACCATCCTCCCCCCTTGCCCTCTGATAACCACTAAACTACTGTCTGTGTCTATGAGTTTTGTTTCCTCATTTGTTTCTCTTGTTCTTTAGTTGTTTTCAGTTTTATGTACTACATATCAGTGAAATCATATGGTTCTAGACTTTTTCTGTCTGACTTATTTTATTTATTCGTAAAGATATATGTACTCTGATGTTCATTGCAGCTTTATTTATGGTGGCCAGGACATGGAAACAACCAAAGTGTTCTTCAATAGATGACTGGATAAAGAAGTTGTGGTGTATATGCACAATGGAATACTATTCTGCCATTAAGAAAAGATGAAACTGTGCCATTTGCAACAACATGGATGGATCTTGAGATTATAATGCTAAATCCTTCATTCTTAATCTCAGTACTACAGTATGTTATTTCTTTTATACTGTATATCACAATCTCAATTCGACATATTAACTTACTTGTTTTTATGTGTTCCTCTCACTAGATGGTAAACTCCACCAAGGCAGGGTCTCTGTCTGCTTTACTTATAATTGAACAGCCAGAGTCCACCATAAAAGGTTTTCAGTGAGTACTTGATGAGCAAATAAATACTAGCCCCTACATCTTAAAAATAAGGTCATTATGGGCCTAGAACTTTAGGAACCATTTGAGCTTATTGAAAGCTGCTCTGCACTTCTATTTTGGATAATTAAGCCCAGTTCTATTTTCTTATGATAAAGTGATTAGCCACAAAGCAACATCCATGGGAACAAGCTGCAACAGATGCTTCAGATGGGCAAAATGAGAGCTTTCTTTGCAGAGCCCAGAAGGAGAAATGAACCTACTTCTTAAAAATAGTTAGCCAGATTTTAGGCCATAATTATGTCTGTCTGACTTGAGAAAGATGAGCCCTGCTGTGCTTGTCCTGTTTCCCTGTCCAAGCAAACAAATTAACAACTACCACAAATATGGGTTAAGTACTGGAAGGATCGAGACCACTAACATAACTCCCGATAAAAGCTCCTAAGAATGTTATCATTCAGCTAAAAGTTGGGAGTCTCACATTATTTTTTCCCCCCTTTTGGGAGACCATTTCGCTAACATTTCTTAAACATCTTTGGAGTTATTTCCATTTGGGGTGGGAAGCGTTTTATAAATATCCGAAGTCAAGTTGAGCTTGGGTGAATTGCTACAGTCGAAACATTTAGGGACAATAGCAATGTATGCAGATAAAAAGATTCAAATTATTTGAGTGGGAACCAACTCCTGAATGATGTAGGCACACAGCTCATGAGAACTCCTGAACAGATAAGAGTTGTTCCTGTTCAGAATCCAGCCATCTGAGGGCAGGACTCCTGCAGTAGCCTCATGACTGGGCTCCTCCCTCTGGGTCTCCCGTCTCCCTTCTATATACACACCGCCATCAGAGTCTCTTCTTAAATATCACTTGTTAGAGGCTCAAGATGCTTCAAATTACACCCACTAAGTTGAAGTTCAAACGTCTTTCAAGGTTCTTGTCAATCTGGTTCCAACCCAATGTCTTGGCTTATTTCTCATGACTCCTGATTCCTTTACCCAAACTCTTCTACCAGACGGACAGGTATTACTGACCTCAGAATATACTTTGCTCTTTTCCAGCCTTTGGGCTGAGGTCACATCTTCTCTTCTCTGGTGTCAAGGATTCAAATCTGTCCCACCTTCTCATGAAGGCTCCAGCCCGGCATCATCTACCTCTGAGCTTCCAAAGGATTCGTGATCAGATCCAAATCCTGCTATTGATCATGTTTTGCACCACTGGAGTGTTGTTTTATATGGTCATTGCAGTTCTTGTTGTTTATAATATTAAGTATGCCGCACTGACCCCAGAAATGATTTGTAGCAGGGGTCCCCTCACCTGGCGATCCATAACTGGGACAGATACTTCTCTATCCTTTCAATAATTTCTAGTTTCTGGTTAAAGTAGTTTGAGTGGGTTTCTGATTCTTATAAACAAACACATTTTGAAAAGGACTGTCACATGTACATATTTAAGATAGGAAATCCCTATCTGAGGTGGAATTATTTTTCACAATTCTGAAAACCTAGGGTCACATGTATCAATATTCTAAAAGTACATCTGGGACATTTATTAAAAAGTACAGATTGAAAACATGCAGATTCCTGGGCTCCATCCAATATCCACTACAATAGAAGCCCTTGAGGCTAGGGCCTGGGAATGAGTTTTTTAAATAAGATTTCCAGGTGATTTTTATAAGAAAATTTAGAGGATGGGGGGAATTTGACACTAATTTCTCTTATATGATGATGAAGGGACATGGAAGAGGAAATAATTCCTATACGTTGAGTAACAATTGTGTGCCTGGAAAATTATTAGGTATTTTTACCAGTGTTATCTCTTTTAATCCCTAAACATATCTATGATATAAGTCTTATCATCAATCCCTTATACGATTAAGGAAATAAGTGAAATAACTCATCCAAGGATCTATAAATGATAATTTGTTGGGCCAGCATTTACACTCTAGGGTGACCAGCTCTAAAGTTCTTATTTCTCACTCTGCTTTCCACTTGGCTGGAGTTTGCAGCAAACCTCGGAGTGGGGGAGTGGGAGCATGAAGGCACATCCATGTTGGAGGTTTCCTGGGTCAGTCTGGGGGAGCTGGGCAGGTCCTGAGCCCCTGGCTGGTGACCTCTGGGTCAAGACTCCCTTGACATCTTAAGAGGACAGTGATCCTCTGAGCTCTGAATTTGCACCCTACACCCCGAGTCTGAAGCCTGGTGAGCTCCAACTAGACAAACCACTTGCTTTCTGCTTGGCCCAGAACTGAAAGGTAGAGGCTGCAGTGCCTCTGCACTTCATTACAGGTGCAGCATTAAAGACCAGCTTCATCCAATATGCCAGCTGGACCACGGGCCTGGCCTGTGTATGGAAGCTGGAAAAGAGAGGCCCTGGAAGCCAGTGTCCTGTTCACTTACAGGGATGGGGTGATTAAAAAACCAGGTTGGGGGCCGGCCGAGTGGCTCAGTTGGTTAAGAGCTCGCTCAAGAGTTTGAGCTCTGAGCAACAGCGGTTCGAGTCCAGCCCAAGCTGAGCAGCCGCTGAGCTGCCACCAGGTAGCAGGATGGCTCAGCTTAAAAACAAACAAACACCAGGTTGGGATGGAAAGGGGGGCTGGTGACTGTGCAACCCTGAAGAACACTGAAGCCCTCCCATTTGGGGATTATAGGTCTCAAGCAGCGGTTCTGTTTTTTAAAAATCACCTGGGAAGATCTTAAAAATCCTACTCCAGGTGATTTCAATGGACAGCCAAGGTAGAGAGGTAGCGAGCCTACAGCCAAGGTTGAAAGTGCCTCTGATGGCTAAGCAATACAGGTTGAGCCTGCAAATTCTCTGTAAGCAGCTTGCATTCTGTCCTGGTTGGGAAAGGTGCTGAGGTCTGTCAAGTACACGCCATCAGCCACCGTCTTTTCAGAATAACCGGGACAGCCTGAAGTTTGGCTGGCTGCCAGAACAGGGTTCCCTCCAATTTTTAGTTTTCCACTATAGGGTAGAATTGGCACAGGAGAATGAAAAAAAAAGGAACATGCGTGAAAGGCAGGGGCAGAGGTGAGACATGACAGATGCCAAGATAGACAAAGGAATGTTGTCTCATGCAGGAAAATGCCAGTCTTAGAAGGATGGAATTGGGGGTATTGACAGCAGATTGGGGGACAGAAAGAGCCCGAGTGTCCAGTCTCAGGGGAGAGGTGCTCTACTCACTGAGTGGATGATGCCTTGCAGAGCCTGAAAGCCGTCATTTACAGGAAACACGTGATCCTTACTGTCCGCAATCCGGGCGAGCTGAGGACAAACACGCCCCAAGATGTGTCAGGCTTGGTTGCAGAGAACTGAGGAAGGCCACTGGACCTAGGGGGCTCCATGTCCTTTTAGAACCCAGAGGAACTTGCGTTCCTGACTAGGCCTCCCTGAAAAGCCCTCGGTAATAATGAACTTACCAGCAGCCTCTCTGAATTGGCCTGGAGGGTTGGCTCTAGCTTTTACATTTGTTTTAATACTTTCCTCCTTGGGAGCAGAGGTAAGATTGCCCAGCTAGATGAACAATTTGGCCTGGGTTGATATATTTATGGATTTGGGGGCAGGCCATTGGCTCCTTTTCCTCCCATTCACTCAGATTTCTGTTGGCAACTATATTCGAACCAAACAAGTTTCCTTTCAGAGCAACTTTAAAAATAAGTTCAACTTTTGGTGTTGGGTGAGGCCAATGAATGCGGACCCTTATCTTTCACCCAAGCTGCCCACTGAGGAAAGGACCCTGGCAGTTGGTGTGGTGCTCTTCCTTTAGAGAGCAGAGGACAGGAGAAAGGAGAAGCTGATCTGTCAGTTGTCTACCCAAAAGTCTCTGTACATTTCTGTATTGCCACAGTCATGGTCAGTGCCAGGATTTTTATTGATTGCAAAAGTAACACATAGTCATTGGGGAATTTCAGAAAACTCAAGAGTGTTAAAATACATTTTAAAAAAGTGACTCATAATCCATCTATCTATCCTTCCATCCATCATCTTTTTATTATTATTAATTTGATGTATATAGTCTTTCATACTTTTTCTATGTAACATACATTATTTAAAAAGTGAACTCGTACTATTCCCGCTGTTTGGTAGCCCAATTTTATTCACTTAACAATATATCATGACCACTGTCCTGTGTTATTAAAACAAAAAGAAGTTACATACGACATTGAAGAACATTTATTTAGGTTGTTTGCAAATTTTCACAATTTGCTTATATATACTTGTACACACTTTTCTGCCCATTTGCCAATTATCTCCATTTTTTTTGTATTGAAAATGCATTGTATATTTAATAGGAGAAAAGGGATGTTTGTCACTTAAATAAAAAACTCAGATTCATCAAATTCAATTAAAAGGAAAAAACAACCAACAAGATTTCAAAGGTAAGTCAGATCTGTTTTGACACCTTGGCAGTTGAGCATCTACCATGAAAGGCAACCAAGAAAGATGCTGTTTGGATGGTCGGAGTTAAAAACCCTCCAGTGCATCAGCAAGTGGCTTCACATCCCTCACACATTGAAGAATTCCCTTCCTGCTAAGCACGTCTGGAAAAACAGTCTCTCTACGAGGTGTTTATGCTGCTGAGGCGCCCTCTGCACTGGGTCATTCACAAGCTTGGTATGCTCCCACACCTGAGGAAGGCTGTGATCATACCTGGGTTTCATTGAAATCCTTCACGCCGACACAGTAAACAATTGCACCAAGGTCTCGGGATCTGTTAGCCTAGGTCAATGAAAGAAAAGACTTTAAAGAGAGAGGCAGTGACAAACATATCCCTTTTGGATTAGCCAGGTCAGCTGCAATGATCAGGTATTTAATGAGCACCTACTATGTGCCAGGTACAACAATGGAGAAGGTAATCCCTGTCCCGAAAGAGCTTATACTCCAGTGAGCATCACATTCTAATGCAATGCGTGGTGGACATGAGGGGAGTAATCAGTCAAATGGGAAGTGCTGAGAAAGATGCACAGAAGGAGAGTCTTGAGGAAAGGCTTTGAAAGATGAGGGGAGGAAAGGGAAACTGTAGGCTAAGGTAAGTCATATTAAATATTCTGGGGAAATGGTTATTTTTTTCTATTCCTCTGATGGATTTTTATTGACATACTTTTTCTTCCTTTGTAATGGTAGAATGATTATAGTGGAAAGGATGTGGCCTAACTGGGTTTGACACTTGCCTTTGTTCTATTACGTGTTTGGGGGATTAAATACCACAATACATGCAGAGCTCCTCATACAAAGCCTAGAACAATGCAGATGCTATTAAATGTCATCACCTTTTGTGACTAAATCCATTTCACTGCCATAGAATACACTGGTTACATGGTATGGGAATTATAGTCCATATTTGAGTAGGTGAATCCATGACCTTCTCTATAATTAAGTATTGAGAGGGCAACATAATGAATAATTTCTAGGTTTGGGCTTGATTTTAATATTTGATTTATTAAAGGCTCTGATAACTGATTTTCAGGTTCTTCCGTGTTTCAAAATAGAAAACAAAAATTGGAAATCCTTGGTACATGCAGTAGGTGCTTAAGAAATAATTTATAGTACATATATAATAGGCACTCAATATATGCATATTGATTTGAGTTGTGTTCTTTTTATTCTCTCTCTTAGTACTTAAACACACTTATGACTAACATTGAATTTTAGAAGGGACAGAAACATATGTCTTTTTTCTTGCATGCTAGAAATATTTCATGCTGTTTTCAGGATAAAACAAACATTTAGACACAGTCTAGACCCAGCCTTATCTCCAACAACTTCTTTGACATTTCTTCTCCAGTTGGGCTTTACATAGAATCACTAAAAATGGAAAGGTTCATTTTCTTTATGTATCTTGGGCTTTATCTTTCTTTTTCAGAAACCCTCCTTCTATTGGCATTGGCACTCCAAATATTTTTCCAAGTTTGTATGTGCCATACCGAAAATTCTTTTCTGCTAACCCCTATTTTAAGCCTCTGACACCTATCATTTATTTTATGTTCAGTTATTTCCTTATTAGGGTTTTGTATTTGACTTGACTGTTGTCTGGCATCCAGATAAGCCTTTTGGCTTTCCCGTTACATAGAATCAACTTTAGAGTATAGAAATTACATTATTTTCCAAGGGCTCCGGGAGTGCCTGTTGTATTTACTTGTGTGTTTTCCCCATTATGAATTATCCTTCACACTCGTTAGGGGTAGGGGGCGGTAATGTGTTCACCTACATAATGTGCTCATGCTCTTTGGTCAGCAGACACTTCCAAAAGCTTCACATTATTGCCCGGTAAGGCCCATGAGGGCAGCAATTGTGTCTTACTTCTGTGTCCCTAGTGTCCAGCGAAGTGCCTAGCACATGCCAAGCTCTCAGTTAACACTGAATGAATGAATGAATGAATGAGTGAATGAATGAATGAATATTTGCTTGCTGAGGGCACTCAATTTAGATTAAATAGTAGCCAAGAGCTTGCGGTAAGTGTAATGTTCTGATTCACTCCTCCCCGAGAGGCCAGCATCTCCCGCCCATCTTCTTTTTCTTTATTGTTTTTCTTTCTAATTTGGCCTGAACAAGTCATTGCCACTAATGAAGCTTCAGTACATTCCCATGGTTAACTGGTTTCCTTGGGCCATTTATACAAACGGCTCAAGTCTGAAACTTGAAAGAAAAAGAGTTCCTAATTGTAAGTATTACTTTTCGATTTTTGAGTAAACCTCTTTTTCTGAATCTCTTTGTACAAACTGAAAGTTTCATTGAGAGAGGATACTTTAATTTGCTTTGAGGAGTACTTTATGAGAATATAAAGAAAAGGAAAAAAGAAATATAGAAGGAGAGATGATAATTTGCTTTGCCACCAATTAATGTTCCACTTTAGTTCTTATAGTGAGAATCTCAATGATGAATACTCTGCCAAGATTGGCTCTTACATATTTCAAATTATTCTTTCCCTTCCTCCTGTTTTTAGTAGAAAATATGAGGAGAAAATGGAGGGGAAAATGGTACCAATGGTTTGTTTTAAAATGATATACAGTATTTCAAAACTGCTAGATCAATATAGTGTTTTCAGTAACGGCACGGTAGATTTTGTTTTTTAATTGCCGCCTCAAACAGAGTACTATGGAAATGTTTTGAAAGAGGAAAATATCTACCATGTATAAGGCATGAAAATTTAGTTTAAAAAAATGAATCATTATTTTTTACATAGGAGACATTATTTTATACAGGAGTTTTACAAAGACAGTTATCATTTTGGCTAAGTAGAAAGATTGCAGCGCATTTCAGAAGAAAAAAGCCCTTTTCCATGTCTGTTTAGACAGACACAGGCCAGTCGTTGCTTACCTCCCTCTCTGAATAGAAAAAGAGATCTTCATGGAGTTCTCCATCAGTCAGAGCAATGATGACGCTGGCTGTCCTGTATCCTGCTCAACACAACACAGACTCACTCAGTCCATCCTGCTGTACCAAGGGAAACCCTCTCTCAGCTCTTATAAGCTCAACCACCCAAGGTCAACATCATGAGAATCAGCAACTTTTCTTTCAGGACTGGAAACAACTCCAGCATGAAGAAGAATGCGGAGACAGGCTCTTAAGGGGGAATAGGTTTTGCTCCTGGGTTTCTCAGGCTGAGCTCAAAAAATGGCCAAACCTGCTGAGATGGTTTCTGGACCGATAGTTAGGAGTGGCTCTAGTGAATCAAATTTCTATTATTTCTAGTAATAGTCCATGTGACTTTTGCCAAGGCTTGGGAGCACACTCTGCCACCTGGGCTGTTTAGGGGCCCTTCTCACATGCTGGAGTTGACCACATGCACCACCTCTCGAAGAGTTTGGCAAAGAGTAATAGTCATTATGATTTACAAGCTGACTGGATTACAGCAGTTGGCAAAACCTACTAGAATTCTTCCAGTGATTTTTAGATTTCTAGTAACATTGCTGATGGTTGATTTATATTAATAGGCGTTGGCGTTGATACTGGACTTGTTTTATTTGTTGTAGTTTAGAGTGAAATCAGAAGTAGACCAAAGTGTTGCATTTTTTTCATTTAAATGAAGGAAATTTCAAACTAAACTGATATCTTAATATCATATCCAATCATAGTAATGAAGGGGCTTGGAGCTCAGAGAAGGACAAGAACATTAAGTTTGACATAAAGATCTAAGACTTGACTAACCTATCCAAGTATTTACTAATTTAATGAATTCAACATGCAAAACTGTTCATGGGCATCACAGACTGACTGATCTTAATTACTTTTATATAACTTTTCTTGGCACCCACAAGATAGTAGACTTGGATCTGGTACATATCCTTTTACTATGCATTCCATCTTTGTGATGAAGTGTGTGTCCAAGGATTATAGGCAATATTGAATATGTCTTTGGAAACATGAAATGACTGAGGCACTTTTTCAGAAGCAAACACAGAAGTTAAATAATTCATAATGGTAATTCATAAAATAGTCTTACCTTGACTGTTTTCATAATAAATCTGCTCACTGGCCTGCAAAACACATGAAAGAGCCATTAGGTACACAGCCACTGTTTGCTACTCCCAGTGCCAGATTGGGCAGTGGGCTCTGGTGTTGGATATGCAGCAATGGCTCGGTCTTGATTCTTTATGTAATCCACCCTGGCTTTACTCCAATGTCAAAGGATGATATTCATCTAAAGTTACCCTGATATTTAACTAATATACTCGTGAACATGGATCAGTGTCTTACTTCTCATAGACTGGGACTCCTTAAGATTGAAGTCATTGAAATTCTGTCTCAGCCACTGAAGCGTCATGTAGAAAAGGTGACCTTGGCAAAGGAGATGACTTGTGTGGGGCGTGCTTCATGAGCGTCAGCCAAGCATTAGCTAACAAACCTTTCATCACTGTCAGGGAAGGAGCGAGGACATTTATTTCTTCAGCTCTTTTGGATAGCATTATCAGTGTGCAAGCTTGTGGGAAAATTGTGTTTTCCTCTCTTGCCATTGGGTGTTATTCAGTTCCCTGAATCCATGTGCCTCATCTCATCAGCCATCTTTATGTTGATGTTTCATATGACACTTTACATTTGGGGTTGAAAATTGTTTGAAAATTACCCTTTCAAATCCTTCATGCATGTAAGTGTCTCCTCCTGGCAGGACCTTCTGCAGTTCTTCAAGGCCTTGACGGATCTGTTCTCTGAAATCCAAAGACACCCTATTAGTCATAGTAGGGCAATTTTCACTGTGCTATTGATAGTTATATACCTTGGTCTTTTTCTTATCTCTGTGGATAATCTCTATTGCCCCAATGGTCTCCCAAAACCCTATCAGAGGAAAAGTCTTTGTAGTACATTATCCAGATAGGGTCAGCCATAGTGTGGGATGAGTGAGATTTCAATGATTGAGGGAAAGGACCTCTTCAGGAATCTCCATCTGCTCACAAGAATCTTCCGTTCCCTTAACATGTCAAAGTTTTCATTCTACGTTGAAAGTGAGTCTTAAAATGCAGCTGCTACTGAGAGGACACACAGCAACGCAGGCACCTTTATATCAAGACGCAAACGGCTCATGTGAGCCAGAAAGAGGCAAGTACTGAGAACCCAGGGCAAGGCCACCACAAGGCCCAGAGGTGGGAGGGGCAGGCGTCTGGAGTGAACTCTGCCACCCGCACGGTTGTGCCAAAGGAAACCGTGTAGTCAGCTTTGAAAATAGACGCCTAGGCAAACTCTGCTTTCCAGGACAACCAAGAGTGTTTTCTGTGGGCCGGTGCCCGTGTTTTCTTACTCTGGCTGCTCAAGGTGGCCGTGGGGCAGGAAGAGGAAGTGGGTTGTGGCATTAGGAAAGGGTCCGACTCAAAGTGGGAAACGTGAATGACCTGAGGATCAAATAGAGTCTTTGTGGACCATTCTCTCTGGGATGTAAGATGTCCACATCCATGTTCCTGTCTTTTAAATAGCCCCATACTGTGCTGAAAGGGTAAGAAAGTATAATTTCTGAATAAACATTAGTTTTATTCATAAACTGGAAGCCTAGGAAAAAGTTTGAAGTTACCTTCTTCTCACTGGGGTCTCTTTAGAGGCAGAGGGTGGAGGGGCACTATTTAAATTAGGACGGGAAACTCCTTTTGAGTAGGGAAAGAACCTCACATTTTTTAAGCATCTACTATGTACAAGGCCCTGCTCAAAGATTTCTGATTTCATCCTCACAATAACCACTCAAGGTGGGTAATATTGCCCTTATATGACACGTGAGAAAACTTGGGTTCAGAGAAGTTAGGTAGGAGATTAGAGACTTAAAGTCAAATCTGTGTGACTCAAAATAAGGCTTTCTATTCTGCCAAGCAGCCTCGTACAATAGAACAGTGATGGAGAAGTGGGAAATTTTCAGTAACACTTGAATTAGTGAAAAGCAATAGCAATTTCTAACACCATCTCAGTACTTCCCGTGTGCTAAGCTCTGCTTGAAATGCACCACATACAGTTAATTCACTTATGCCTTACAACAACTCTTTGAATTTGATACCACTGTTACCCGCATTTCATAGATAAGGAAACTAAATCACAGAGAGGCTAAGGGACCTGCCCAAAGCCCCTTAACTACTCAGTGGAAGAGGTGAGATTTGAACTCAGGTTCTGCTTTCACGCTGATAAACTGTTTCTCTCTTTTTTTCTGTCTTGAATGAATGAATGAATGAATGAATGAATTTTATTACTGGTCTATTATGGCAGTTGCTTGGGGAGGAAGTCTAAGGCAAAATTAACCTTTTGTTAAAACCGATACAATGGAGTAACCATGGATGAGGTTGGATCAACAAGCAGTGGGATGTTGTAAAAGACAAACTGAAAAGAGGTTAGCTTGAGTCTGTCCCTGGTCCGGGCCACTGATGATTCTCAGAATATTTAAGACCAAGTAACTCAGACTTTGGGGAATGTAGTGACTATTGTCTGGTTGTCGTATCGGTGCCCAGATATCAGGCCACATGCCCAGCTGCCAAGTCAGAAACCGGAACCCTTCCTCTTCCGTCTCCTCTCTCCTTAGATTGTATAATCTAGCACCCAATTCCACTAGTTCTACTCTAAACATATCATGACACTGGCCACTTCTCTACCTCTTCTGCCAACGTCATGGTCTGTGCCACCATCATCTTTTGCTGAGATCGCTGGGAAAGTCGCCGGCTATCTTCTGACTGCCGTCTTGCCTCTGTTCCATTCATCCTCCACATGGCTGTCAGCATGTTCTTAAAATATTGATCAAAACATGCCATTCACTCCCCTGCTCAAAACCCTTTAACATCAGTCAATTACACTTGGGAGAAAAATCTCAAGTCTTTGCCATGGCTTTCCAGTGCCTACCTGGGATGGTTCCTTTGCTCTCAGGGAGCTGACAGCCTCATCTGGCTGTCACTCACTCGGCCCCCACTTTCTTCACCTGAGCCCCACTGGTCTTCCCAACAAGCTCCTTCTCTAAGAGACCCTTCACACCTGTGATCACTGCTATCTGGGGACCGGGGAGACTTTTTGCCCAGCTCTTGACTGGGCTAATTCTTACCCAGCCTCCAATCCCAACTTAATGTTAATCACTCAAAGTAGCCTTATTTGACTTCCTCAATTCAAATGAACTCTCTCAGATAGATTTTCTCATGGAACCCCACAACTTTTGCTTCATATCACTTGGAATATTTTGTAACTAATACCATTTGACTATGTAATTATTTGTTTAGGGTTTTTTTGGTTTTTGTTTTTTTTCAGACTTAAACCCCATGAGGGCTGGGCCATGTTTGTTTTGGTCTCCACTATGTCTTCGTGTCTTTGGTGTCTACTACAGTACCTGGAACATTCTAGACATTTAACAAATATCTACTGAAGAAGTGAGAGAGGGAACACCTCTCCTGTTAATCATCCTGTGAAGAAGTCAATCCTGGAGGCAGGGATTAACTTCATTTGGCCATGTGGAGGGAGGCCAGGCAGGAACTGACTTGGTAAAATTGACCCTAGGTCTGTGTCCCGGTGGTGGTTATAAATCATTCTCTGTTGTACTTCTTTATATTACCCCCAATATTTCAATAAATCCCATCAAAAGGCATATTTGAATTTCAACTGTGTTGCTTGGTAACGAAAAAGGGCGTATATCTGTGCATGAGAAGAAAGGGTAAAGATGAAAGCAGTGTCCCCCGCCAAGGCCACTGCTGGGAGGGGAGATGGTGGCACTGGCAGTCATCTGGCAGAGGGAAGCTTTGCCCTGCAGGTTGGCAGTTTCGTGAGGGTCACAGCAGTGACAAGGTGGCATGAGGGTAAGACTGGGATAGGAAAATCGGGTTTGTTCCTGAGCACAGAGAGGTGGTACCAGGGAGCTCTTCAGAATACTTGGGGGGCACTATGGGGGAGGAGTCTAATTTCTGACAATTAGAGAGAAGAGATTGGACATTCAAAGTAAATGTGGGAAAAAAGGTAAATGTGGTTGTATTCATGTGGTCGTGGACCAGTGAGTTCTGGGACATATTGGTAACACTGGAATTAGAATATTGCATTAAAGACTAAAGCTTAAAAAGAGGGTTAAAAAAAAAGACATATTAGGAGGGTGGAAACGGTTCCTTGGCTTCACTGTATTTTTTCTCTGCCAAATAAAGTCTGGGAACTGGGGTGTTTTCTCTAAGCCTATTTCCTTTTCTTTACAAGTATTTTCTTGAGCTTTCTATTTTTTTGGTACCAGAGCAAGCAAAGGCTGTTTTGGAAACTGCCCTTATTCTTGATGGTTTGTGTCTGGCAAGATATGAACTCAATAGACCCAAGCAGTAATCACAACCTCCCATATACCACCCTTACTTCTCCAAAGATCAAGTGACCTATGGCCCCACTTCCCTACTCCCTGCCCTATCTCTAAGCACCCACAACATCTAACCAAATGAAACAGATGGTTTCATGGGAATGGTGGGACAATAGAACAATTAATAAGGGCCTATTTTTTATGCTTTTGTAGAAACAAGAAAATTGGGAGAAAGATCTTTTGAAGAGGTTGATAAGAACTTCTCTGAAGGCTTCGTTATTACCAAATGAAATGTTATCTTCTTGGGAAAGGAGAGTGGCCGGGAATCCTACAAAGACAGGCTGCTATTAAAGCGTCTCCTGTTTTCCACGGTGGTTTCACATGTCTGCCAGTGTTCCTACTTAGAAGTTAAGGGTTCTCAGGCCACATATCTTGTGTTACTTTTGCAACCCCTGCAATACTTAATAAAGGGCTTAGAGTAGGTGATTTGCTATTCAATGATTACAGTTTGGGTGTATCCATCCATCCATTCATTCATTTCCACAACTATTTATTGAGCATGCACCGTGCACCCAGCACTATGCTTGTTTGAAGGGATGGGGGTGGGGAGATGCAGCACAGTGTTTGCCGGACTTTCTGTTGGCTGGGAATTTTTCTACACTTCATGAAGATGACTTTCTGGGACTCCAGTTACGTTGTGACATTTTGACATTTGCTGATGTAAATATGAAATCATGAACACACAGAAGCACATCAAGAAGCACTTCAGTAGGCTTCTAATCCCAAGTATCCCAGCTTTTATCCCTCCTATTGCAAAATCCTCCTCAGGGTTCTGTAATGTCTACCACATTCTCAGTCTAAAAACAACCTCCACCACTACCCCAAAATAACCCAACATCGGCTCTGCATTGTAGACTTCTTGCCTCCAATAAAAGAGCTTCTGTGGAATTGGACTTTTCCCAAATGCCCCGCAGTTATTGGCTTTGGAGCCCCAACTCACATAGTAAACACACATCACTATTTATTACCACTAACGCTGCATTCACAACATTTCCAGATAGCCTTATGGCTTCAGTGTTGACTACAAAAAAAACAGAAAGATAAAAAGAAAGAGAGAAAGAAAATGGAGTGAACAGAATAGAAGAACATAGATTAATTTAAGACATTTTTGCTGTTACTTTTGGAGTCATAAAATTCCATGACCAACTCTAACCACTTTTTTATAATGTATATAAGTCATAGCCTCTTTGGAGCATCTACCTAAGGATGGGCCAACGTGACTAATGACGTTAAGATGCATACTGAGCCAAAGATCCTTTTCCGTATGTTTTTAAGCAAAGTATAATTTACATGTAGTAACATGCAAAGGTGATTATTCATTTCCTTTATAATTGTTGAATTTATTTCTATAAAGTTGTTTATAATATTTCCTTA